AACATCTGTAACCTGAAACACACACCACATTCAAGCATCTCACCCCTCCAGTCCCCACCTTCTGCCCAGCAGTGGGCCCCTCTGCTGAATCCCTGTACACTCCTCAGGGCTGAGCTGCTCTCCAGAGTCCTGACCCTAGCACACTCATCCCTCCTCTGAGCCTAATTACTTCCTACCCTTTCCCCTTGGAGCAGCTCAGGAACCACTCTCTCTGCTCTGAGCCTAAAGTCTGTCTCTCTTGCAATGTCCACACCGCTTAGAACCTGCAGGGCACCACTCCGCCTGGGGATGCACAGCTTTATGCAGTTTGCTTTCTCTCCTTTTGTGTTAGTTTTGATCTATAGCTAAACTGAAACCTTCCCAGGAATGTGTGCCTTATAGGGCTGTATAATACACAGCTGATGCATCCTTCATTTAACAGCTACATAGCTAACGCCTACTTTGAGCAACATAGTATTGTAGATATTTACAAACTATAGCAGCAAAAATGAAAAGTCTCTGCATGAAGACTACATTTCATAGGAATGGGATTGAGGACAAGAGGCAATACATAAACAGGTAAAAGACAGAGCTTATGAGGCCAGCAAGTGCTGGATTCCCACATGGTAGCCCACAGTTCAAGTCCTGGACTTGAGGGCTTGAGAATCACAAAAACTAAATAGATTAAAAAAAAAATGCAGAGCATATTCCTTGATAAATATTAGGAGACAGAGAAAGGTAAATGTGAAGCAGAGGATAGTTGGGCTAGGCCTAGCCAAACAACTGGCATTTGCAAAAGGGCAGAGGTAGAGCACCATGCAGGTAGATGGAGGAACAGCATTCCAGGCAAAGGGAATGGCCAGTGCAAAGGTGTATATATGAGAGCACAACTGGGCTGACAAAGGAACAGCAGTACAGCCAGTGTGGCTGGAGTAAAGAGAAAGAGGGTGAAAATAATAGATCAGATTACAGACAGAGAAAACAGCCAGCCAGTATAGAAGCCCATTACATATTGAGCAACCCCAGTCTGAACATCTGAAATCCAAAACATTCCAAGATCCAAAACTTATTGAGTGCTGACACAATGTCACAAATGGAAAATTCCACACTTGACCTCTTACGACAGGTTGCAGTAAAAATGGTACAACATATACTGCATAAAATGATCTTCCAGTTATGTTTTTAAGGTTTAGACGTGGGTCCCCTATCCAAGATAGTTGATCTATGTATATGCAAATATTTCCAAATCTGAAAAATCCCAAAACCTAAAACGTTTCTGGTTCCAAGCATCTTGGATAAAGGATTCTCGACTGCTAGAAGGAATCTGACTCCTCTGAGTAAGAGGAGCCCATGGAGGTCTGCAACAGAAAAGTGGTGGGACATGACATATCTTCAAATGCTAATTGGCTGCTGTGTTGGAAATCTCTAATAAGGCTTTAAAGACAAAGCAGAGAGAAGAGTTGAAGGAACCTGTAACAATCCAAAGGAGAGATGTTAGTGACTTACTGATGGAACAGGAAGTGGTGGTGGAAATGGTAATAAAGGGTCATATTTGGGTGTATTTTGAATGCAACAAGGAGAGGATTTGCTGATAGAATGGATTCGGGTGCAAAAGAATAAAAGAGCTAATAGTGGCCCAAAAGATTTTGGCCTAAGCAACCCAGAGACAAAGTTACATGAGGCAACATATTAACGCTGCAGGAAAAACAGACTTGGAGTGGCGGGACTTAGGAAAAGAACTACATAAATATTGATGACTTGGGGCCAGGAGGTAGTGTGGTGGTTGGGGTGCTGGGCTCCCCCAAGGGCCAGTCCCGGACCTGGTGGCTCTCTCTCTCTCTCTTTATCTCTTCTCTCTCTCTCTTTCTGGTGAGTGTGCTTGCACCATAGTAAATTAAAAGTAATAATAATAATAATAGAATTAAATAAATGATTATTTTAAAACAGAAAAATAAAAGTTGATTATTTTAATCTAGAAAAGCTGGGGGTTTTTTCGATTGCATTTTAAATATCAAGAGGCAGTTCCATAGCAGAATGGTTAAGACCTGTGCTTGGGGAGCCAGATCCTACATAGTCAACTATGGTTCAAATCCTAGTCCGGAAAAAACACACTTCCTCAGAAAGTGTTTTGCCCCATTCCTGTCACTGTGATAATGCTTTACATTACCTGTGTGTCCTGGATTATGTCCATCTGGACGTTTTCTAATTGAGTCTCCTTATCAGAAGCCAGGAATTCTTTGAGAACAAGATCTATATGTCTAAGGGTAGAGGAACATGGTGCCTAGACCAACTGAGTTTCATTGTAAAGGGCCATGAATTCTTTTAGAATAAGATTTGCATGTCTAAAGGACAAGAAAATGGTGACTGGGAGAGGATAGAAATTGTCAGGAGCCACAAAGCAGAGTGGTTTTCTTGGGGGGGGGAGGGCGTGGTGGTGATGTGCCCTGCCCTGTACACCTGTAAATGGGATCTAACTCCTGCCTCAAATGACTGGCCATATGGGAGCCAGCTCCATTACCAGACCATGGGACTCACTTGCTTGCGTCTCTCTCTCTCTCTCTTTCTCTCTTCCTCTCTCTTTCTCTCTCTCTCTCTCTCTCTCTCTGGTGAGCCCAAGTACCCTCTGACAATTTGCAAAACTCAGTAATTTTATTACTCATCTCTGCTGTTCATCATATCAGTTTCTTGCAACTATGGCTATACTTAAGGACTCGTGAGGACAACCATGTTCTGGCAAGTTCAACTCTTCCAAGGGACTCCACTATCTGGAGTATTTTTCTTTGTTTTTTAAATTCAGCAGTGGTGATAAGGGACTCACTGCTCACCACGTAGCTCATAACAATGTTCTCATAAGAGATTGTATGTGAAGTCAGAATAGTAAATAATTTTATACCACTCATTTACACAAGCAGCCATATGTTCTTCCTCAAACTTTTACTGAGTTTCTGATGTATACACTGTGTTCTGTAGGACACAAAATTATTAAAAACAATTCCTCAACTCAGGACAAGTAGGGGATTTTAACATCTGAAAGCAAATCAACATAAATGAAATTAGCATATGTTAGGTATCAAACAGGACTGGGTTGGGATCTAAGAAGGTCTCTTAAAGAAGAGAGGGACCTCAATATTTTCCTCTGTAAAACGAGTAGGTCTGGACTAGATCATTTCCAAGGCCCTTTCACAATCTAGTATTCTGTGCTAAGGACATACACAAGCTTTAAACTATACTTTTGAAAAGAACTAGGAAGATGGAAGAAGAAAACATAGCATATTTATGACGAGAGAGTCCCAAGACCATTCAAGGATGTTGATAGCGTACATTAGTTATGGAACTATGAAAGTGAGAGTAAAAAGACTGAAAACTCACGTGGACTCCAAGATTTAAAAATATCATGCTAGAACCAAAAATGTCTTCAGTACGCAACAGAACTCAGTAGGAATGTACAGTCAGGAAGGAACCTGAATATGATTTCATGGGAAAAGTCACAGCTCAGTTAGAGACTACAGTGGAGGAGAGAGAATACACAAGCAAATGTGTGGGTGGCGTGCAGAGGACAGAGCAATTTAACTGGATAAATGCTATCCTCAAGCAGCAACTGTTTCTGCCTAAAACCATCCCAAGACTATACACAAAAGAAAGAGAATCTGGAATTAGTAGTAGTGTGTGTGCACGCACACACATGTGTGCATATGTATGTATAAATAATACACATATGAAGGAACTTCACAAAGTTCATGGACAAATGGAATTGAACTTCACAAAGTTCATGGACAAATGGAATTAAACTATAAGTTTATTAAGTGCATAAAAAATTTGAAATCCATGCATATTTTTCCATAATCATGTTCCATAAACTTTTTGAATACCTCACATATAGGAGTACTCAGAAGGAATCATTTCTTGAAGATAAAAATAACAATTATGAGTTATTTGTAGACAGTGGGATTTGATGAAAAGTGGAAGATTCAACAATGACTTAGGCTCCCACTTGGCTGCCTGGGAAGACAAGGATACAACTAGCAAGAAGCAACGACTAATGTTATAAAAGACAGCCAGTGTGCTCCGTGTGTGTGTGTGTGTAGGTGTGCATGTGTTTATAAAACTGTGTTCAAAGGATTAAGGAAATCATAGCCCTCATGGGAAATTAATTCAGACTCAAGAAGAACTTGCTTGAGAAAACTCTGTAGGAGAATGGCTACCTGTCTATATGTCTGATCCAGTTCCAGCTACAGTCAAAGGCTTTTCCAACTGTGCTTCCCTTACAAGAAATAAATGCTCATGATTTCACTGCTAGATGTAGCACGAGGCAACCTTTGAGGTTTGCTTTGACTGTGTGAAGTAAATGATAGAAACACATTTTGAATGGCATGTTTGCTTTTCAAAACACATCAGAATGTTTGTCCTGTCCACAGTAAAAAATCATAATAAAGATATATGTTGACCCTCAAATTCATCACACGTTTTCTCTCAAATTTACCACGTGACATATTGTTAGTAAAGAATTTGAATTTTAAGCCAAACCATATAAATCCTATAGGTTGTTATTTATAAATTAAATAATTTCTGTTGTCTGCTTGTTAAAAAAAGGTGCCTCATTTTCAAAAGTAAACTTGAAAACCAAGTTAAAAAAATCTTACTTTTTAGATATTAAATATTTTACATATTTACCTTTGTCTTTTTAGTAACTTTCTTCTTTGTAATTATCATGCACCTTGCTTAACTATTAGAAATAAATTTTGATTGCTTAGAGAATTTTTTTATGGGTACAGTATGCTTTCTTGATAAATCCACTTTTCTCCAGTTAATTTTCTTTTAAAATATTGATAATGTCATATACAGCAATTTCACTTTCTTAACTTAAGAATCTAGATGTTTTTTCAATAATGACATTATTTGATAAAAATCATAATTAAAAGAAGAGTTTTCAATATTAGCTCAGACAATGCCATAAGGAAAGTTTCTACTTGATTTTGTTCCTACATGTGTTTTTGATGAGGTATTAAAAAAACCATTCTCACCTGTTTTTGATTGTAGATTTCTTCTTGGTTCTTCGGGGGCTTCAATTGGCTGATCAGCCAGGAAAACTCGAGCTTGGTCTACAGCATTCAGAATAGAATATTCTTTCTCCTTTAACTCACGTCTCAGTGCCTTAACAAAGAGAAGCAAAAGTCACATTTGTAACCTCATGTGCTCACCAAACGATAGAGCATCTTGAATTAGATCTGACCACCCTTGTCAAAGAAAAGACTAACAACCAGCACTTAAGCTAAGTTAGAAGTGAAAATGTAAATTTTACAGATACAAATGATGAAAAATAGGAACAAAGTAAAAGGATCATTTCTGTAGAACTTAAATATGCAAAGAAGAAATCATTTTAAAATATTCACCTAAGGGAAATTGTTACAGCATATTTGAACTTACACAAAATGTACTTTTATGTTTTTCACTAATGTCAGATTGCTAAAATAGAATAGCCTGTTCTCAGATACTTTTTCTTATAAGACTGACTGACAAAAAAATTACATCCAATAGTACAGAAGAAGGTAATTTCACAAGTAGTAATGAGATCCTCAGAAGTGTTTTACATTCTTTAGAATACATTAAGAAAAAAAAATTAAGAGACAGAAACAAATTAAAGTACATGAAATCAAAACTAAACTAAAGAGAACACATAAAAGACAGTCTCCAATTATCTTAAAATATGTTCCATCTCTCACGCTGAGGCAATTACTGTTTTTCCCTTGTGAGATTTTTTCATGCAAATCTGTGATTCTCAGAACAGTTTGTCTTTAGCACTTTTGTTCTTTTAAGCAGAGTTAAACTTTCACCCCTGCCCCTATAAAATGTTGGGTGATTAAGTCTCTAAATGACTATGATTTAAAAACAACAAAACTCTTCAGTGCCTACTGCATGGTAAAAGTAAATGAAGACCTGGGGCCAGCAGGTGATGTGGTACTTAAGGCACTAGACTCCTAACGTTATCAGCAGCACTTCAAGTCCCAAATCCGGCAGCTTGAAATACCCTGGAGGATGATCTCTCACTGTCCCTCTCTGTCTCTTTCTGGAGAGCGCACATGCCCTGTGACAAAAACCTTAAATAAAAAAAAAAAAAAAAAAAAAGAGTAAATGAAGACTTTCTCCTGTGCTGTTTTAATACTGTAGCAACACCTACTTGGTCATAATGTGTTGCTTTAGCACAGTTCTCTAGCAACACATTATGAAAATTCAGTTTTTAAAATTTCCTAAAATACTGTACTCTCACAATATTTTAGAATCAATAAAACCGTTCCTTCTCAACATAATTTTTTTTGTAGCCTTTGAAGGAACTAGGTTGGCAAGTCATTTGGCAAGACAGGGCATTTACAGGCTAACTCCTTATCTTCTGCAGTTGATAAGGAGTAAAAAGAGAAAACTAGAAATATAAAAATAATGATCTTATATACAAATATGGAGCTAAACAACAGAAAAACACGAGTAATGGAATGGAAGGAGACTGTCAAGGTGAGGAGGGATAAGAGCTGACAAGAAGTAGCAAGAGATGGAGTGACAAAGTGCTATTTTTTTGTGATAAGTATTATGCCATTTGAGTTGTGAACAAAGGACAATTACTACTTTGACAATAAATAAATAAATAAATAAATAAATAAATAAATAATCAACCCAGCCGCAGTGGCACAGGCGGTAGGAGTACTACTGCGTGATGCTGGGCCCATATAGGAAGGTTTTAGGTTCACAGAGTCTGTCTGACCCACCAATGTGTCCATGACCCTAGCTAGCTCTGGGGCTTCGAGGTAGGGGCCGCAGTGTGAAGACTCTATTAGGGGTACCCAACTCTCTCTTTTTCTCAAATGATGGGAAATAAATACATAAATGCTTAAAGATGAAAGCAAACTTTGTCTAAAATTAAGATACATGTATGCATCTTTCCTGACCTCTATAAATCTAAAGACAGACTGTGAAGCAAGCACAGTCAACAAAATTCCCACATAATGACACCAATTGATATTAAGTGACTATGTCAGAGGGAAAGGAACAAATTTCCTACCATCTTTCTTTTTTTAATTTCCAGAGGGCATGGGCACTTGCCAGAGAGAGACAGAAAGACAGAGAAAGCATCCCCTAAGGGAATGGGTCGAGTCACAATCCCTTCTCCTCTGCTTCTCCATCCAGGAGGGATTGTGGACACACACACGCATGCACGGCCAGTGTATTTTTTAGCTGTTGGGGATAGGATTTAAACCATGATCAGTCATATGAGATCCTGCTCTATTAACTGCCAGACCATGAGCCAGTCCTACTATCTCTTATATAAGAAATAGAACTTGTGAAGAAGTTCTAGGGTTTGACATTCCAGGAAATAGAAAAGATTATCTTCTGCTTGAGCCCTGAGGAGCAAGATGGAAATTCGCTGGAGAATGACTGTCCTCTGCAGTGTCCAAGGAGGTCAAGCTCTATTCCTAAAAACCCCAGAGGTCAGACCTCCACATTTCTCCAGAACTGCCCTGCCCCAGGATGGTGTAGAGTGCAGGGAGGGCAACACATTCACCTGTCATCAAGCAACCATTCTGGTTCTAAGGCTGTATATCTCCACGGGTCTAGTGAGAGGGTTGTCAGTGTTTTGCCCAAGGGCCTGCTTCCAGCTGCTTATTTGGATCTTGCTCTGTGATGGACTGGCCGCAGCCCCCACTTTCCATAGTAACTGGGACCTTGGACAAGTTGTTACTGACTATATTCATGGAACTGCATCACAGAAAGCTACCAAGGTAGGCCTTTTGGCACTGTCAGCTTTAACCTTTGCTGGGTTTGGCTATTTCAACTATCATGATTTGCACATCTGCAAAGTTACTTCCATGCTGTGGAAACTTTGACCCTTTTTGATGTAATACCTGAAGAATTGATCGTCTGCCTCTTTGCCTTGCTCTGTCATACTAGGCGGCTCACAATAAGGAGGAAATCACAGATCAGCTCATTGGTGAACAGATCTCTTCTCCTATGACATGGTTATTTTCAGAATTGAATTACTGAACAAAAGGTTTGAAAGGTATCTAGAACTTGTGAGACCAAATTCTATATTGCATTGTCTCCAAACTTCTCACAAGATTTACAATATAAATATTACATATGAGTTACTTTTATTTATCAATCTCTTGAAGACAATTCAGCTTTATTACTATCAATACATGATCAAAGTTCAATATTTGCCATGGGAATACTGGACAAAGAAAGGGAAGACTATTCAGTTATGAGTAAAGACTTTGAGGGAAATTAGACAGTGCTCAATTTTTGAAAACTTCCTGTTCTGCTCAGTTAAACCAGCTACTGATGGTTACAAATCCTAGGGAAAATTAAAAATGCAGAAGCAGCAGGTGGCATTGTGGCTAAGGTGCTGAAATCCCATGTAGTCAACCACGATTCGAGTCCCAGACCTGGTGGTTTGAAGCATGCCAGGTGCATGTGCATACATGCCCAAAATCCTGAGAGAAAAAGGGAGAAGGGATTTGGGAGTGGCCATGTCCCTGGGAAGGTGATTTCTCACTTTCTATCTCTCTGTCTCTCTGCGTGTCTCTCTGGCAAACACCCATACCCTCTAGTAAACATCTCTCAAAGGGAAAAAAAAAATGAAGAAATGCTAATACCACACATGAAGAATTTCTCCATGCTAGGAAGAAAATCTTAGAGAGCTTCTAAATATATAGAAGTTCATTTAAGGGAAAGGTCCACCTTGTAGACATGTCAAAGTATTAAAAATTCTGAACTGAGACATAATATTCAAATGCATTATACTTGTCCTAAAATAATCTGCCCACAAATATAATATTACGAGAATAAATTGTTATTTTCCCACTATGAAAATCTCTAATGTAAAAATGTATTCTAAAAAAAGAAAGTATTTTTAAAAATAAAATATTGTATAATAAAAAAATTATCTTCTGACATTCAAAGTTCCTGATATTTGTAAATAAAAAAAGAAACAGGAGAAAAGGAAAATATACCTTTGTCAAATACAGATATACATATATATATAAACATAGATCTTGAGAAAATTTTCCTTTTAATTCAGATTAGAGTGAGACACTCTAGAGAAATAAAAACACTTCTAGTATTTACTTCTAAAATCACTGGAAATATAAAATGATGATGTTAAAAATCATGTTGCTCAAAAACAAACAAAAATCATGATGCTCAAATAATAGCACTATAAAACCATGGATAACACAGCAAATTACTTTTAAAATTTTAGTGGTCAAGAGAATTATCTCCCAAGCCCAAATCTAACTAGTAAATGTGGGATCAGTAGTGATTCTTAAAATGATAAGCCAGACTGTGTTAGAGTTCCTCTTTTGGGAATGGATAGCCAGGCATGCACCTGATGCAAGTCCCGGCAAAGGTGAAGGTACTAGAACATCTCTTCTTCCTCTACTTGGAGTCATGGACCGTAGCTGGAGACTTAGCACAAAAGAGAAACCAAAATGTACCAATTGGCAATGATATGGAAGAAAATTAAAAATGAAGGGAAGGTCTAGCCACGGTGTTGTAGACAGTAGGGACACGACTGTGAGGAAGGAGACCAGGTGGGAAGGCTCCAGGTTCAAATCCTGGGTCTATCTCAACACTGATGGCATTTCTGCAGGTGCCTGGGATCCAGGCGGATTGCAGGGGAAGGAAGAGGATTGTGGTGTGGAGACTCTGTTGATGGTGTGCAGCCCACCTTCCATACCCAATGAAGAAAATAAATTTATATCTTGAAAAAAAAAAAACCTGAGAAAAATGGAATATAAAGGAATGTGATTCAGAGAAGGGAGAGCAGAAGCATTACTGACTTTCTGGAAATACAAACAGATAGGGTGCAGATATTTCACAGAGGGTAGGTTTGGATCTGCTAGTGGAAAAAGAAGGTAATATGATCCATATGATTTAGGTGTACTGTGATTCTTGATGGGTGTCTAAATTAAGTCATTAAGAGAGGGAAAAGTACTTAAGGGAATATTGCCAGGTGTGCACTCCAGGAACTACCAACATTTCCCTACCCGCAGAGCAGCAGCACCGAGCTCAGGATGCTGGCAGAGGTCAGGTCATCTAGACCACCGTATGGCCCATTATGCACGTAGGACTTATTCCATTAATGGGCTAGAGGAAGTCACCAACAA